CCCTCACATCCTCACACTGCTCCTCTCTGGTCTCCAGGTTTGTCCAGATCCTGGACAGTGTCCTGCGTTACCTGATCCCCCGCTCCGAGGACAGCATTGGCACCTTCAATGCACTCAGGGTGAGTGTTTGCTGGACTCCCCTGGGATGGGACCAGTAGGAGCATCTTGTCATGGACTCGGCTGGTTTTATTGGAGGCTGTGGCATAGCCCCATTGATCTGATGGGGACAGACCTGCCCAGGGCTCATGCTGGGAGCTGCCACATTGGGCACTGCCAGTGAGATGGAGAAGCTGGGCATTCCCTATTACACTAGAAACTGTGCTTGTGGAGAGGGAAAGCAGGCACACCATGGCAGGATCGAGCTTCTAACTGTCCTGGATTCAGCTGTAGCAGTCATTTTCCTCCTTCTTAGTCGCTAGTGCAGTGCTGTGTTTTTGACTTTCGGCCTGGGAACAGTGCTGATAACACTGATGTTTTTAGTTGCTGCTAAGTAATGTTTACTCTGATCAAGGAGTTTTCAGTCTCATGCTCTGCCAGGGAGGAAGGGCATGGGAAGAAGGCAGGAAGCAGAGACAGGACACCTGACCCAAACTAGCCAAAGGGGTATTCCATACCACAGCACGTCATGCCCAGTATAGAAATTGGGTATTGGTTGGCAGGTGGTGAGCAGTTGTACTGTGCATCGCTTGTGTTTATTGTTTCTTTTCCTTTGCCCCTTTTAGTTTTGTATTCTCTCCCCTTCTTATTCCCCTTATCATCATTGCTATTATAGGTGGCAGCAGCAGTGGTTTGTGTTATACCTTAGTTACTGGGCTGTTCTTATCTCACCCCGTGGGAGTTAGAATCTTTTGATTCTCCTCCCCATCCCTGCAGGAGCAGGGGGGAAGGAAAGGACAGAGTGAGCAGCTGCATGGTTCTGAGTTACCGGCTGGGCTTAAACCACAACAGTAACCATCTCAGCTTGTCCCTTGGTAGGACATGAAGCCATTCCTGCTGCTGTCCAAGCAGAGCACAGACCTCATTGCCCACTGCCTGCAATCCTCAGAGAGCAACCCCCCTGCGATCCTGCCAAAGCTGCGCATCAACAGGCTGCTGGCCCGGGAGCACCGTGCCAACCCCATGCTGGACCCCAGCTACAGGCACACCGTGTTCACCCAGGTACGGCAACACCATGCCCTGTGTGGGTACCTTCCAGCTCAGCATCACTTGTCCCTACTGCATCTTATCCCTTTTCCTCCCTGCTCCTCTCCAGCTGTACGAAGGCCTCAGATCTTCCAAGCACAATCAGCCCCTGGACTACAGGTCGGTCTTCAGCATCACAGTTTTGGGGTGTCATCTCCCCCGAGCAAGATGCAGGGAATGCCATGCGCTTCTTGCTTTCTCGGAGGAGGGATGTGCATGAGGCTGTTGCTTCCCCACAGATGGCCCAGAAACTACACCCAGTGGTGGGAGTGCGATTTCATCACTGAGGGCATCGTTGACAATGGTGAGAGCTCTCCCCTGCTGCTTCATAGCTCTCCCCAGGGCTTTTTCATGTCGGGGTGCAGCTCAGTGGGTTGCCCACTCATGTGGGGTGTCCCCACTGTCCAGGCTTCTCTGTGGGAGGCAGCCATTCTCTGCCCACATGTGGTGGTCCCTGCATCTCTCGTACCCCACCAGTATTGCATCCTTGGGACCAGCATCTGTCTGTGCTGTGTCAGGCACTGACTATCCTCTGCCCCCACTGCAGGTGGTGGTTTTCGGGACACCCTGTCAGACATGTCGGAAGAGCTGTGCCCCAGCTCGGACAATGTCCCTGTGCCCCTGCCCTTCTTCGTCCGCACCTCCAACCAGGTTTGGTACCCCATTGTCCGCCTGTTCCAGCCCTGGGCGTACAGACAGCAGAGCCTGGGGGCTTTTGGATGTTAGCTCTATCTTAATGCTTACAGGGCTATTGGCTTGGGGAGGTTTGCTTGTACCTGTGTGGTGGACAGGAGAGGCAGGCAGAGGGGTGATGGAGAGGGAGGCTGCAGGAGGGACCATGCTGGGCTGGTCACATCTGTGTCCACAGGTCCTAAGCTTCTCTCCTGCAGGGTAACAGCAGCAGTGACACCAGGGACATGTACGTCCCCAATCCCTCCTGCAAGGACTTTCCCAAGTATGTGTGGATTGGGCAGTTGATAGGAGCAGCCCTGAGGAGCAGAGAGTTCCTGGTGAGCACATCAGGTTTCCCCTGGCCAAAAAGGGGTTGCGGTGGGTGCTGCGGTGTCACCCCTCAGGTGATGGAGGGGCACATGGAGGATGCATGTCTTCGCTTCCTCTGGCAGATGCTGGCTCTGCCGGCGCTTGTGTGGAAGCAGTTGGCAGGGGAAGAGGTCGTCTGGAGCAAAGACTTTGCTGCTGTGGATGCGGAGCTGGTGAGCAGGGCTGGGGTCTGGCAGGGCAGTGCTGTGCGCTGCTGTGGCTGCTCCGGCTCCACCGTGATCGCTGCTTCGGCTCTGTCGTGATGGCTTTCGCCCTTTGGGGTTGCAGGTGAAGCTGCTGGAGATGATGGAGGGGATGGACAGGGAAGCCTTCGAGTTCATGTTTGGCAGAGAGCTGACCTACACGGTTGTGCGGAGTGACCAGCATGTGGTGGAGCTGATCCCCAATGGCAGCAACACTATGGTGTGCTACGAGGACCGCAAGGAGTTCATCCGCCTGGTGCAGAAGGCTCGACTGGAGGAGAGCAAGGAGCAGGTAACGCTGTGCCCCAGGGCCAGTGTGGCTCCAAGGGGACCCTGCTTCTGGTACCTGTGGGGTTGGTGGCTGTGAAAATGTGTCTCCAAAACCAGCCCCAGCTGGGTGGTTCCTCCATGCATCCCATGCTCAGGATGCCCTGGGTATCCCCTCTGGGATCCTGCGCTCCCTGATGTTGGTGCCCTTGGTGGCTGCCCTGGGCTCAGACTTATTGCAGTGACATGGGGCTCTTCCTGTGTCCCCCCAAGATAGCAGCCATGCGTGCCGGGCTGCTCTGTGTGGTGCCACAGCCTGTGCTGGACCTGCTCACCTGGCAGCTGATGGAGAAGAAGGTCTGCGGGGACCCCAAGATCACTGTGTCTGACCTGCGGAGGTTCGGTAAGTGCTTGTCCTGCGCACTCATCCTGCCCCATGCTGAGTCCCTAGCCAGGGGGAACCTGGGAGAGGATGAACCAGAGGGACCCTGGGTAGGGATGCAAACCCCACCAGTCCCCACTCTGCTCCATCTGATCCTCAGCTGCTATGGGCAGAGGCGAGTGGTCACCCTGCAAACCGGGACCCCTGTTTCTCCACCCTTCCTTACGCAGGGTGCCAGCCCTGCTCAGGGGTGCTGACTGCTCACCAAGAGGGTCTCTTCCTCTCCTGCCTCTGCTCTGGGCTCTCACAGAAGGGCAGGATGGACATGTCCCATTCATTTGCTTTGCTGGCAGTGTTTAATGGAGCTGTTGCACATTCTTTGTCGCAGTCACATTTGAGGACTTTGAGCCCAATGACACCCGTATGCAGAACTTCTGGGAGGCACTCAGCAACTTCACCAGTGGTGAGCAGCCCCAATTCTTTCCCCACTCTTCCTGTGCAGCAGGGTGGGCATGGAGACAGGGTACCCACTGCCCTACGCCACAGGGATGCTCAGCAGATACTTCCCTGGGACTCAGCTGGGGTCATTCCGCCTGGCCCCTCCTGGGATGCTGAGAGCATCCCTTGGCTTTGCCCATGCTCCTGGGATGATTGTGCAATGGCAATGACTGGGACACTCCTGTCCCTGTTCCTGAAGCCTGTCCTTCCCCCCAGAGGATCTCAGCCGCTTCCTCAAGTTTGTCAGTGGCCGGAGCCGCCTCCCAGTTCAGATCACTGTCTACCCGGATAGGTCAAAGTGAGTCCATCCTGCCCAGGCTGGGGTCCCTGTGCCGTGCTGGGGTCTGACCCTCTCTCCTTTCTCCCAAGCTTGAACACAGTGGACGTGATGCCACATGCCTCCACGTGCTCCTGCACCTTCTTCTTGCCCAGCTATTCCTCGTGAGTCTTGCTGGGGACAGGGATGCTCCCCCTTTCCTGGGGATGGCACTGGGGTCCCATTCCAGGCTCTCCATGTCCTGTCCTGGGGGATGTCTCGGTAACATGGGGAGAGAAGCATGAGGGTCCTGGTGCCTTGTCATGGCCATGACCCCATGTCCCAACCCACCAGGGCCAAGACATGTGAGGAGATGCTGCGGTATGCCGTATACAACTGTGTGTCCATCGACACCGACAGGAACTGGGATGAATGAAGCCCCCCGGACATCCCATGCCATGGGACCCACATGCTCCAGGGACACTGGCATCAATAAAGCCGCAGGGCCGGATCCTGCTGCCCTGCCCCAGGACGTGTTTGTGGCCGTGCCTCTCGAGGGCTGGGACTGGAGTGCACATGGCCAGTGCTACAACTGGGGGTTCAACACAGCACTGTCTGCTGGGTGCTGTGCTAGCATGAGGTGAAGGTGGAGACTACGGAGAGAGCTGTCCCCTCCCCAGACATGATGTGTGTGGGGAGTGTGGCTGCAAGCTGCCCCCCAATGCACCCTGCAATCTGCCCCCCATGAACCCTGCAAACTGTACCCCAATGAATCCTGCAAACTGCACCCCAATGAATCCTGCAAACTGCCCCCTCATGAATCCTGCAAACTGCACCCCAATGAACCCTGCAAACTGCACCCCAATGCACCCTCAAACTGCCCCCCCATGAACCCTGCAAACTGCCCCCCCCAATGCACCCTACAAAGTGTCCCCCCCATGAACCCTGCAAACTGCCTCCCTCCCAATGCACCCTACAAAGTGCCCCCCCCATGAACCCTGTAAACTGCTCTCCCCTCTCCCTGCCTGCAGGCTTACCCCTGGCCGCCTGGCGGCGCTGTGCCGCCAAGCCCCTCCTGCTGCCGGGCCGTGATCCATGACTCGGCGCTCCGCAGCCCAGGATCCGTCCCTCGGTGCCCCTCTCCCTGCCCTGGCCGGGAGGAGCCGATTGCGGCTGATCGAGACTATCGGCTCTCTATCGACGCACTCGGCTCTCCGCGCGCATGTGCAGTGTGCGCCGGCGCCGCCATTGCTGTCCTGTCAGTGAGGCGCTGCGAGCCGGCGGCCGCCCGAGCTGAGGTAACGGCGGGGCTGGGGGTCCCGGTGCCTCCGTACGGGCTCCGGGGGGCGTGGGGACCGGGGAGCCGGCGCACGGCTCCGGGGAGTGCTGCCGGGTAGAGCTGGGCCGGGTCGAACCGAGCAGGTCGACCCTGTCCCGGCCCGGTTCTGCCAGGTTAAGCGGGGCCCTGCCCCTGTGCTCCCTCCGCAGCATGGAGTTCCAGGCCGTGGTGATGGCGGCGGGAGGCGGTTCCCGTATGACAGACCTGACCTCCAGCATCCCCAAGCCGCTGCTCCCCGTGGGCAACCGACCCCTGCTCTGGTACCCGCTGAACCTCCTGGAGCGGGCTGGCTTCGAAGGTGAGGCGCGGCGGTGTCTTGGTGTGGGAGTGGAGGCTGTATTGCTTACCCTGCTCTCCTGAGGCTGCCCGTGGTCACCTCTGTGTCGCTTCCCCTCTTTCCCATGTGTTGTCGCAGGTGCCCTGTTGATGGTGGCAGGTGCTGTAGCAGGTCTCTGCATTGGGGTTGTGCTGTTGGCCCATGTCACATCCCTTCCTTCACGCTAGGTTGTGTGTGCCAGCGCCCCCTCCCCTCACCAAGGCTGTTGTTAACCGGGAGTCTCTCACTTGTTTCTTTCTCTGAATCGTCAATAAAAGTAGTGTGAGAAGTGAGTCAGCTCTCCTGGGATGTCTCTTGGTTTGTTGCTTCAGTCTGGCCTGAAGTTCAGGGTTACTTGCTCTGTCTGAGGCATTTAGTCCATGTTGCAGGGAGGAGCCAGGCGCTGGGTTCTGGACAGAACAGGACAGTGGAAGTGGCAGAGTTGTCATGCTCACCTGTGGGCCTTGTTTTACGGGAAGGCTGAAACAGTATTTAGTACATTCTGAAGTTCTTTACTGTTTTCTGGGGTTAGGTTTTTGTTTACCTTTTGAGTAGTGATCCTCTGTTTCTTATAAAACTTTTTCCTAACACCTTCCATGTTTCTGTGTTTTCACATTTATATTTGTCTTTTGCCTTTCTGCTTCTCTGGGTTTGCTTCTCCTGAGCGATTATTCTGTGCTCCACACTGAGACTGTGGCTTTCTTCATGACTGCTTCTTTTTTAATGTGAACATGTAAAGATCAGCTCATGATTATCCCTGTTAGCCTCTTACTACTTCAGTGTGCAGAACAGAAGAGCGAGCAAACTTAAGACTGTCTTTATTTTGTTTCATTAAGAAATCCTTAATGAAACAAAATCCTTTTACTAAGAAATTCATTAAGAATTATTTTTCACCTGTATTTTGAAATCTGCCTTTTGAATGTCCCCTTTCTTTGACTGGTTTTTTTTGTTTGTTTGTTTTTTTTGCTAGGATCATGCTTTTATCCAGTGATATGAATATATGGGTAGATAAAAGCTTCTCTGTAACCATATTGTGCTTTGTGTGGCTCTTTATCAGAAATAACCATTTCCACTTGATGCTCTTAACCACTAGTAGGTGGTGTTACAGCCATTTCTCACGCATGGCTTTTCAGCTTAACCATCACCTAGGAAAATTTGGGGATTTATACATGAATATATGAATATATATGAATATATGGAGCTTCAGTAAGCAAGTTGCCACCTTCTTGTTCCTCTCCTGCCTCTGTCCCCTGACTAAGCTGTGTGTTTCTGTGTTAATAATCCACTGGCAAGAATTGTCTCCCTGGATCATGATTTTCATTAAGTATGACACGGGGCTTTAGTTCCTCATACTTGCTTATGTTAGTAAGTAGGTGTTCCAGAGGCTGATTCACTGCGTCCCTTTTGTCCTAATTGTAAGTGCTGCATCTCTCCTAATATTTAGGAGACTTTGTCCAGCTCACTGGATTTATTCTCAACCGTGGGGACTTATAACTTCCACCTGAGACCAGTTCTTTCTCCATCAGCTACTACTTTTCCTAATTCAAGGTGTGCTTTCAATCCCTTTCTCTAGGTTCTTCAGCCCTGTTTTGAATCTAAGTTGGCATCCAGTATGGAGTGGGAGAGGAACCCTCCCGTATCTCTGGTACCAAACAGCCACACAATTCCTGATGTTTACAGTTTCATCCTCTTTTCTATTAACAGATTCAGGATGAGTTCAGAATAAATTGGTACAGATTTATTCTTAGTGTGTTTTCGTCTCGCCACAGGAGCTTCTTAGGCTGAGGGCTGGATTGTTTCCCCTAGTTCTCTGTTAAAATTCCATGTAGAATACTGTGGTACAGTGTGGATTTGTTTTTGGGGTGTGGGGTTTGTTAATCTGAGGATTTGATTGTTGCTTTTCCTTGCAGTTCTTGAGGCCAGGGAAAGAGGTTTCTTGCTGTTTTGTTTTCTGTCTTTACTTTGCAAAGCTTCTGTTCTCACATCCTTCACTTTGGAAGATACACTTTCATGCCACTGTTAGCATCATTGAAATATGCATTCACCTTTTTTCTTTTGTAGATGGAATGAGTTGCTCACATATTACTCTACTTCTTGCCAAGATGGTGCAAAGAAATAGTTTAACCATTGTATTGCATTACTGTGGTTGGTGGTGGGGTCTGCAGAGGATTATACAGGATCAGGGTAGGCAAAAGACAAAGCTCTAAATCATTGGAGACATTAATGCAAGGTCTCCTTGGGCTGTTTGAGGACATATGGTTTGAAGCTGCTCATTAATGACAGAAGATGTTTCTATTCTGTCTTGCTAACTCATGCCACTCACATGCATGTGTCCCTTTCAGTAACAGGCTCCACCCCCACAAAGCAGGAGGGATTGTTTTCATATGCATTAGGACTTTAATTCTTTTCTTTAAAAGAAACTATTGCCAAGAGCTTGGTTCATGTAGAACCCCATTATGCTACTCAAGCCTTCTGACAGTCCATCAGCCTTTGTGAATAAAAAGTGTATTTTATTTGTGATCGATATTTTTTTTTTTCCTGCTTGATCTCATTCCACTTTCCTCTATCCTAGAGGTTATTGTGATTACGAGGAAAGAAATCCAAAAGATGCTAAACTTGGACACAAAAATGAAGCTGGATTTCGTGTGCATCAGTGACAACATGGACATGGGTACAGCAGATTCACTTAGACATATTCACCAGAAAATTAAGGTATTACTGGAAGACATTTGTGTCTAATTTTATTTAATTTTTTTTCATTGTGCTTTAGCTTTCCCATGGAATGATATTGATGGTAACTGAATTTCCTGGTCTTCAGAAGAGCTGAATTTTGTAAAGGTCACTTTATGGGGGAATTCAAACAGACTCTGACTTGAATTGACACCTAGGATGGCTGGAGCAGATCCAGGCTGGGCACTGGCTGCTGCTTAGTGTTAGCTTTCTGGCTGGTTAGTTAAAAAGTTGTATTTGTTTGTACAGTTTTTGATATGATGTGTGATAGCTGTTGTCCACAGAGCGCTTGGAGAACTAGTTCTGCACAAATGTTCATTGTCAGCTTAGCTTAAGCAAGACCTTCACATGTAAGGAAGTTTGTGCAGTTCTCAGCCCTGCCACAGGGTTGCCTGAGCTGTTACCAAGTGGCTTGCTCTGTGCTTCAGTTTCCTGCTTTTCTTACACTGGCTTGTCCATAAGCTCTTTGATAAACATTGCACAAATGTGATAAAGGGCTGCTGTTCTAATAAAAATGCCACTTCACAGAATTCAGGTTTCTGGCTACACAATCAAAACATTTCCATGTAAGGCAGACATGCTGCTCCGAGCTCTTGCCATAATCTGGGATGGAATTTCGGTTTTGTCCTTGTCATACACTTAATCTTTCTGATTTGTTCCCTCTCTGTTCAGGCCATCTCAGCCAAATTGGCCATGTGTATATAAAGGCTGCAACATAACATCAATGAACTGTGTATTTTTGTCTTCAGGCTCTTTTTGAAGGTAATATGCAGTGTAACGGGCTGGGTACTCCCAAGAGAAAGACTCCAGTTTAGGCAAGATGAAATTTTACAGGCAAATACAGGTGTTTGGGTGAAACAACGAGAAAGATTCTGCAAGGGATTAATGCACAGACTAGAATAATTTAGAGGGTGAAGAGGAAACATAAAAAGGAAAAGCAAAATCAACAGAATTAGTTTAACTTTTAGAATGTTTCTGTTGTGGAGAATAGTGCTCTGTCGTAACTCAGTCTGGCAGTATTTTTTAATTGCCTTTATGCATTAAGGAAATATCTGTGTGCTGCAGATTGTGACCCCGACCTTACACTTGTATTGGTTGATCAGAGCAAGCAGTCCTGCTGTCTGGGTATCCCTCTTTTTGTTAATCCAGGCAAGTCAGCTGAAGGGGGAGGCCTGGGAGACAGCAATAAAGCGTGTGGGGTAGGGAAATAGACTGTGTCTTCAGAGGCAGCAGTGTTGAATATTCTGTTTATTTTTCAGCAAAAAGGCTTAGGAAAGATGTGAGGTAGTCCTGAAACCCACACAGCTTCTTCAGTCAACTGCTGTGTATGAATGGTAGCAACTGCTTCTGCCCTTTTTATTCCATGTCTTGCTTGTTTGGCTGGGGAGAACAAAGTGCTCTCTTATTTGAAAGAAGCCTGTGCAGAGTTCTTGAGCAGATTGCTGCACTGTGTATTTTGGAGCCATTCCTCTAGTAAATGCATACCACTGGTGCACCTCTTATAGGGTATACCCTCTCATGTGTGAGGTAGGTGAGAGCTACACAGTAGAGGTAGCTGAAAAGCTGCTGTTCGTTGGCTCTGCCTGCGGTGGAGCGGGAGAAGGATGTTGCTGAAGAATGAGTTTCCCTGGTGAAAACAACTGCTGCTTGTGGCCATAGTTTGCTGGCAGGCTTTTTGCAGCCCATGCCAGAAGTCTGATGAGAAGTTTAAACTGGTTGTTGAAATTTAGTTGTCGCAAATTGAGCTAATTGCCCACAAACAGAAGAGCAAGTATGCTCAATAAAAATGAGGTAACGTGGCACAGTACAGACAGCTTGCCTGTGTGCAACGCAAGTGACAGGGAGCAAAGCCAAGATTATAAATGCACAGTAAGAAATACGTCTCAGGGCAGCTGAATTGCTGATCACAGATTGAGATGTGCATAAATGTTGGACCACTCTAAAGAAAACATAAAATTTCATGACTTGCTCCCTTGCCTAGCACTAAACTGAGGGAGTTCCACTGGTGCAGCAGCATTGCTGTGTGTTGTCTCTGCAGTTGCAGGCCTTTGTGTTGCACCTTGGTTAATGAAGCTCAATACTTTAAAAATTAGATGATGAGATTAGATTTACAAAATGGCATTCAGCAGTAGCAGGAGAGTACATATGTGTGAAGACTGTAAGGGCCAAGGAAAGATAGTTTGAAGATAACTTGCATTGCTGTTTTACCACTTTTTGGTGCTAGCATTTTTGGGGGCAGGTAAGAGTGACTATTTTGATTCACAGCAACAAGCAGCTGACTACCAGTCTTACTCTTTCTTCGTGAGAGCAAAGGAAGCCTGTTCAAGTTTGTTTGCTGTTCACCCACTCTGCACACAGAGGATTTTTTTGATGCCTTTACTCCAAGAGTTGGTATAGTAGATGTGGGCTCTTTGCTGTGCTGGAACTCTTCCTGTTATTTTTGGCTGTCTCAGCCTACACCTGACTGACAAGGTAGCAGCTTCATTAAGGTTTTTATGTTCATTACAAGTCTGAATGTATCTTTTTCTTGGATCCTTCACAAATAAAGATGTTATGCTACACTTGCTTCCAAAAGGCACCTGCTTGAGAAGTAATAAACAACAGTGAACTTGGTCCTGTGAGTTCTGCTTTCTGTATTCCTAGGCCTGGGTGTCAGCTTGGCCTATTTATCACCAGTAGTTCTTTATTGAACTGCTGAATTGAATTGACTTGTGTAGCAGGTTGTTTTATTTGTTTGTATTTAAACATTCAATGCCGTGGTCTCAGTAGCTAACATCATTAACCAGTCTTCACAACTCTACAGCTGAGGACTGAGGCATTTCGAGGTGCGGTAATTTACCTTGGATCATTAGAGATTTGTAACTACTAGAGATGACATCTGTCTCAGATCTCTCTTGGTTTTGTTCATGAGGTCATAGTTCTATACTGTGTTGTGTGCATGTTGCATACTCTGTTTCGTCACCTTGAAAAAGCCATCAGGACAAGAGATTTAACACAAGTTGAAGATCTTTTAAATGGAAACTGATGAAATAGAAACTTCAGTAGAGTTGCAGTCCAGTTTCTGAATTGTGAGTGTTGTGGGGTTTTCAGTGATTATGACTTTAAAAAGGTCTTAAATATGGGAATGCATGGGTCTAAATGTATGTAAGTGAAAATCATTTTGCAGCATATGAAATAGAAACCAGCAGAGATTTATTTTGCCTGTCTTTTTTCTTCTTTTTTATTTTTTTTTTTTTGCCTTATTGGGTAGTATAACAGTTATCAGTGTTTTGCACTAAGTCCAGCTCTTAAAATAATGTCAAAAAGAAAGTATAGGAGTTACTAATATGCTTACGTGATTTGTTTTATACAGGGGTATGAAAACAATTTAAGGACTTCGTGACAACTGTTGATCATGTCCTTTAATTGCTCTCCTGTGGACAATCCCAACATTTCCCTAGAGTCATAGAACAGTTAGGGTTGGAAAGGACCTTAAGATCATCCAGTTCCAACTACCCTGCCATGAGCAGGGACACCTCCCACTAAACCAGGACACCTCCCACTAAACCGTGCCACCCAAGGCTCTGTCCAAGCTGACCAACCCACCAGGGATGAAGCATTCGCAACTTCCCTGGGCAACCCATTCCAGTGTCTCACCACCCTAACAGGAAAGAATTTCTTCCTTATATCCAATCTAAACTTCCCCTGTTTAAGTTTTAACCCATTACCCCTTGTCCTATCAGTACAGTCCCTAATGAAGGGTCCCTCCCCAGCATCCCTATAGGCCCCCTTCAGATACTGGAAGGCTGCTATGAGGTCTCCACGTAGCCTTCTCTTCTCCAGACTGAACAGCCCCAAATTTCTCAGCCTATTTTCATACAGGGTGTGCTCCAGAATGCTGCTGTTTTCAGGATCTTGCTATAGTCTTGTGTGCTTTTATGGCAATACCTGTGGCTAATGGCCATTCTTTTTTCTTATATGCTAATATCACAGTTTTATTCTTTTGGGTCTGTGTTCCTAGTTTTCTGGTCATCTTTTGCAAGACTGATAATGAATGGCTTTTCAAAATATGAAAACCAAAGTGAAGCTGCAGAGCTTTTCTCATTTATATATAGGATTGGAAATGGTAGAACACAAACTGTAGACTCACAGTTGGCGGTATGATAATGCTCTTGTTGAAACTGTAGCTTTACCACCATAGGGCTGATACCTGTGATCTGTGCTGTTGAGAAAGATCTCTGTCCTCTCAGGATCTAGCCCAAACACAGGAACAGGCCAGGCTTCCATTCCTGGAAGTATGAATTGATAACCTTCCCTGGTCATGAAGAGTGAAGAGAGCTCCCCTATTCCAGATGGCAAAAGCATGGCGTATAAAAGAATTTAATGTATTTTGGAAGATGACAGTCTGCTTCTGTAGCTGAGTAAATTAATTACAGGAACTTTATTTTATTTATTTATTTTAAATGCCTTCTGACTTCAGTTTTCTTTCAATTATTCACATATGCAATTATACTAGAGTAATGCTGAAGTGATTTACTTAGTGAAAGCTTCAGTACTTTTTGAGTTCCTGCCTTACCTGCAGCATGGAAATAATACAGGTCCAGCAAGACCTACAGGATACAAAAAGAGGCACTACCAGGGGTTTCTTCAGCTGTGTGCCTGTTAGCCTTTGAAAAGCTGGGCAAAGGAGGGGGAAAAAACCTTTTACTAAATCTCTTGAAGACACCAAAGAGCTGTGATAAACTGAGCAACTTTGAAGGACTATAGCAAGCCATGAATCAAGCAGTTCTATCCTTAAGTTCCAAATCTGTAAAGCGGTATTCTTGTACAGTTTATTCAATCCATTGTCTTTATGTCAGACTGTTAAAATATTGCTACGTGTTCATGTCTGGTTTCAAGAGTCACTGCCGAGGATTACTTTGAAACCTCAGAAAATTATTTTTATAGATTAAATGACAAAGTCGATGCTCTCTAAGTCTGTAACAGGTAAATACCTCATCCAA